ACACAGCTTCATCTGGCTTCATTCTCAACCCTGGGATGGCACGTCCCAGAATGAAGCACTCCATGCTGCAGGACAGCACCGGCAGCCGGCAAGGGACCCGAGGAACCAGCAGGTGCGGTCTTGTCCCATTCGGCCCCAGCAGCACTTTTAGACCAAACTTTGACAATCTGTACCCTCTCTGGAAGGCTGCTGTCCAAAAAGGATTTCCAGTTTCCTAATAAAAACCTCAAGAAGTGCCCCTGAGTAGTGCTCCGCTTTTTTTTTTTTCTTCCTTTGTTTTTTAAAAAATGCTCTATAGTTGTTGTTTTTTTCCTTACAGAAAGATTTATTGGAAGAAGTCTCACAGCTACAAGCCCCTAAATCCTTTATTACTTTTTTTTTTAAAAAAAAAAAAAAACAACCCACCTTCTCCATTTTATCTTTGCATGTCATGTTTGTTCTAGGCCTTGTATGGGAATGATAGGCAGTTATTCTTTTGTTTAAACAAAGCCCCAGTAAGCTCTGGCAGCCTTTACTACCTTTGTTTCTCCTTTCTAGACATGTTATTTCATATGCAAGCATAAGAAAGCAGAAAATTGATATGCTCTTCCAAAGATGGCAGTGTCCCAGCTAGTTTGTCCAGTGCATTTCACCTCCAAGGCCGGCGAAGGCCCACGTAGGTATCTACCTGCACAGCGACCACAGCGTTACCAACTTCAGCCTTTCCATGCAATTATGAAAGAGATTTCACTTTTGAGAGCAGCATTTTATCAGAAACATTTCCTGGAGCTTCTGTTCCTTTTTAGGCCATATCAGCAAAACCAAACAGAGAAAGAGGAATCAAAAGCAGCAGGGACAGAAATACTTCTAACGTTCAAAAGCAGCAAGAGATATCATAGTGAAACAGGCAACAGGGAAAATGCAAGTGTTTCCTACCCACTCAGGATGGTCATTTTGAACTACACAGCCCTAACAGCACCAAGAGGATGATGCTGCAACAGCAAACGTCACCTGTGTACAAGTTCTGCAGCATGAAGCAATCCCACGTACTGCCCTTTGTGCTGAAAGAGCAATCCCACGTGGCTTGGGATTAAACCCTCTGAGCAGAGCAGATCTGGGCAGCCCTGGACCAGCAGTGACACAGGAACCTTCAGAGCAGCCTGGCCGTAACAGATGCAGATGAACCGCTTCCATTCCTTCCACTCTGTGCAAAACTCCAGACAGCCACAGCCAGCTGCACACAGCAGCTCCGAGCTTTGTCAGGACCCCTCTCTTCTCAGAGACACTCAGTAATGCCTGGGAACTTTATTCACTTCTCCCTAATTTCTCCTCTCTGAAAGCAAAGGCCATGATCTTGTATCTTTTCAAAGCTCTAAGCCACACAGTTACTGACACCTTGGTGCAATCTCAGCACCTTTTGCCATCTAGCTAACTAGAGACGTTCTTAGAAACAAGCAACTGGCCAAGGTACTTAAAATACCCAAGTTTTTCCTAGGAATCCTCTTTGGCTTTTGGAGGCTCTCATTTCTTTTTTGACCTTTCACACCACATGACAAGTCTCAAGTGTTTTAGGAAAGCAGGCTTGTTCAATAAACACAAAACGTGCAAGAACAAGACGACAGCAATTAACTTTTTTTTAGTGAAGAAAAGCATGTGTCCAGAGAGGCATGTACATCCTCCTAGAAGAGTAATTTTATACGAGTCACAACCCTTCGCTCCACTTCCTCAAGACCTCAATGCCACAAGCTTGCAGGCCACACACATCCCATTCAGCATGCCTCTTCCATCCCTCCCACCGACACTCCCAGCTGACAGCTCCAGACACCCCAGTACCAGGTCACCTGTGACAGAAACACACAAGGAGAGTTTATCCCAAAATAGTCAGGGAAAACTGTCCACTAAGGAGGAAGAGACACCTTATTTTTCAGCACTGTGAACACCACAACTGACAGACACCCAGCATTTCAATATCCACCCCAAGTTTTGCTCAGCATCACAAATAACCCCACAAAGGTCACCACAATAACTAACAAGAAAAATCTTTCATCAAGACCAAATTTAAGCTGTAGGCTGCTGCCTGTCACCCAAAGGTTCACATGCAAGAAGAACGATGCACCCACTCCCTCCGTCAGCCCCAGCGCTGCTGCCAGCGCTGGCCTGCCAAATGGTTTTGTTTGCTGCCACACCTTCACCTGAATGACTTTACAAGAGAGTTTTCATTCAGAAGCTGCAGTCATTTTACATCCAAGCGAGTTACAGAATGTACTTAACTAGCAGGGAAGTAAACACTTTCCACCATTTCACCTGTATCTTATCAATATGGTTATTTGCTATGCAGTAAGTGTAGATCTTTAACCAAAGCAGTAGATGTATGGATAGAAACTCCAGCATGAGCCCAGTTTTACAGTTGCAGCCAGAACTACACAGGTGTAAACACGTTCCTTTCTGGAGCAGGGCAGCCCCTCATCACCTCTACACCAGCCACCCATGGGGCAGGGGGGCACAGACTCTTCAGCTGCACAAAATCATGCAGAGCAGCACAGTTGTTCATCATTAGAGCACTGGTATTTTTATTGCAACAACAGTAGGACTTCTCCAGCTGCTCTGCTGAGGGGACTCGCCATAACCCAACAAGGTACTGCATCCTAACAAGCAGGTACATTTAATTTTGCTTCTGTGCTGCCACATACAGCCATGCCCATGCAACATAAATGCATGCTACTTCAAGGGAAATGGCAAAAAGCACCGGTGGGCAAGGCACTGTTCTCAGTTTGGGGACACAGCTGTGGTGCCAGCTGAGCTAGCTCTGCAGGGGAACATTAGTTCTGGGTCTCAGACAGGTGAAGCCTGTTTTGCATCAATATGAAAATTTCAAGTTTCACATGGCTTTTAATACTAGCAACTACTCTGGTAAAAAAAAAAAATACAAACATAGTGCAGATAGGGCTGGAAGTTAACTTCCCTTCCCAAAGGTAGCATAGAGAAGCCAGCCTTCAAGTGTCACGATATTATCCACATTCAAGCACAAGGAATCAATACATAAGCTCCGGTTTCAGAAGAACCTTTCTGCCACAGGAGTGGAAACTTGCCAGACCCACAAAGCATGCAAACGGAAGATCTGGGTTTAATCTGCTTTTTGCTGTTGGATGCTAGCTGTTCCTCATTCCACTAGCTACTCATTCCATTCTAGCTACTTCACAAGCGAATTCTTGCACCTGCCTCAATACCAGCTGACTGCCCGTAGCTTCGAGCAGGTAAAACTGCAAAGGCAGAGCCGGCACCGCTACGCTGGGCCATTTCAGGGCACCCCAGGATGGGCAGAGAAGCTCTCCCTTGCCCAGCTCTTCTCAAACGCACAAAGCAAACACCTGCTGTACCTACACGAAGATTAAAGCCTCCGAGGTTTTCCCGTGTTTTAATTCATCTCAGTGGAAACCAACGCTGTTTGTGTACTTCAGCATGGTATTTACATACCTTCCACACCATAAGAAAAACAGGAATTTACCAGTAGAAAGCAATTTTGTCCCCAAGTTTCTTCTCGTTGACATTTCTGTCCAGGAGGTTGTAGCAGATGTTGGTGGTCGCCCCTTTCATCCACTCGACGAAGATCTTCCCCTTCGTCACATCGAAGTTGTACTTCAGAAAGGGCCCCGTGTGCGGGCTCCTCCAGTAAAACTCTTTAGCCACATCACCCCAAAATTCTGCAAAGGCAACGGCCAGAGCTCACGACCCAGAAACCGGCGCGGAGAAGGAAGACGACGCTTCGGGGAGCGGGGCGGCCCCACGCTCCCGCAC